AGGAGGGAAGAGAAGAAAGCATGGAAGCGGTTCAATGTTGTTTACACTGGGGGCACTTCCATACAGTATTGTGCCCCTCTGAAAGCTGCTCCAGATCTCAGGATTCTTGTCAATAATGTTGGAGAGCATTGTACAACCAGGGCCACTATCTGATGGGACTGATTTAAAATCTGAAAACTTTTGTAACATGAAAAACATGTATCCTCAGATAAAATACTGTAACTAGAACATGTTACTTTGTATCAATTCATAGTGTATATTGTAACAAAATCAGTGGACTTCACAGTTATTTTCTTCATAAATGTTTTTGTTTAAGCATGCATTTATTTATTAGAAAAATCTACTGTTTTATAGAACCTTCTATTTCTTGCAAATATGTATAACTTTTCAAGGCTGTAGATTTATTACAGTTAGATATAGATGGGAATAGTTAATTCATTGGGGTACATACATTTACGGAAGCAACTGAATAAAAAAATGCATTACTATAATAATCTTGCACAAGTCTGTAGTATGATCGCTCCTAAAATACTATGTTCCATTCTAATAACTGGATCTCACTTTAGATCTGGAAAAGATGCAGGAAAAAAAATTAAAATGATCAGGAACATGAATAATTTCATTTAAAAATGTATTTTTAATCATTTTTCTTAAATGATATGGTAAATGATGCAATACTGAAAAAGCAGGTAACAATTTTTCTGTTTCTCACAACAGAAGAGAAGATTATTTATAACTCTGAATGGGGCAGATAAATAGGAGAGAATGTTCCAAAGAGCACAGAGCTTAACTCTGGAATTTACTCCTGAAGGATGTGATTATGACTACCGTAAACCATTGTATAAGACAGGGGTGGGCAACTGTGGCCCTTTTACAACCTGTGGACTTCAACTCCCAGAATTCCTGAGACAGCCAATCTTGGCTGTCTCAGGAATTCTGGGAGTTGAAGTCCACAGGTTGTAAAAGGGCCACAGTTGCCCACCCCTGGTAGAAGATACTGAACAAATTCAAAAAGGATAGAGGTGCCCATTAGACCAGATGCTGCTGGCAGCATTCCTCTGAAAACTAGTTGCTGAGAAATATCAGTGAAAAAATTAATAAACCACTATAATTTGTGGTTTCTTTAATCAGAACTCTATACTTTAGATTTAATATTGGTTACAACATTAGTGAAAAGATGGCTCCATTTTGATAGCCACCTATGTAGTGCAGTGATTTTAAAATGCCTGACTAGCACCTGGAAGATCAGGAATCAACCCTACTACCAGCCCTAGCTGATTTTGGTTCATTTTTTAGGGTTACTGTTATGGAAAAACATGTAAACTGAACTTGTGTGTGGAAGTTTTGATATGAACAAAAACATGGTGGCTCAGCAGACTAAAAGCATTGTGATTAACACCAGCCGTCTGCAATTACTGTAAGTTCGAATCTCACCAGGCTTAAGGTTGACTCAGCCTTCCATCTTTTCTAAGGTAGGTAAAATGAGGACCCAGTTTGTGGGGGCAATAAGCTGACTTTGTATAAATATACAAAAGTATGAAGGCTATTGCTTAACGCATTGTAAGCCGCCCTGAGTCTCAAGAGAAGGGCGGCATATAAATCAAATTTTTAAAAAAAGGTTCTTCACCATGTTGTGTAAAAATGATTTGCTGCTGAACTATTTTTCCCTTAAAAGCAGAAATCTTATACAGACTTAGGGGTTGTTCTTGGAGTTTTTACATGCAATTATCTTAAGATAGAGAAACAAATATATTCATCCTCTGGGGATCTGAACAAAGACAATTCCACATCAGTGGAACACAATTTGACCACATAATACTGTCAAAAGTCAGCATTAATATTCCAAAGTTACTGCAACCGAAACTAGAATTGGGGGAAGGGAGAACAAAAAAAATTATAATCTGAAGTTTTGAGATTTAACATGAAAATATGATGGTTTGCTTTCAGAAATAGCAACAATGAAGGTTTTTTTAAAATAATGATGTACTCATCCATATTAAGCACAAAATTGGAGACACTTTTCTTACATATTTCTGGCATATTTACTTAACATAGAATGCTTATAACTTGCCAGTTTAGTGTAGTGGTTAAGGAGCTTGGCTGGAAACCAGGAGACCGAGTTCTAGTCCCAGTTTATGCACAAAAACCAGCTGGGTGACTTTGGGCCAGTTAGTCTCTCTCATTCCAACCCATGTCACAAGGTTATTGATGTGGGGTAGATGGGAAGAGGAAGGAGTGTTGTATATGTTTACCCCCTCATGTTATAAATAAAATAAAAAGGGGTTATAAAAAAAATTAAAAATAGGAAAATCTTGTCAATCTCCTGACTGGTGAATAATAGCACAACAAAGATACACACATACATACACACACACACACATACAGGTGGTCAACCCATAATTTCAGGCTACAAATACAAATTCCTACAATGTGTTTGAATTGTGCATTGGGTAGATTTTACTTGCTCCTGAAAATGCAAGAAAAACTATGCACGGGTTGGGGGAACATCACGCTACCCCATTGTTGATGCCCAATATACCTCTTATAAGGGAATCTTTAACAAATCCTTTCTGGATGTCTGAACTGGATGGGCAGATTTCATTTTGGCAAGCTGTTGCTATTGCTGCCTGTTGTATCCCAGAGTTGTATAGATCTCTGATTAATCTCACTTCATGCCTCAAATAGCCAACAGGCCAGGTTCATCCTGATTATATTATGTAAAGTCTATGATATAAATGAAAAATTTAATTCTCACAGTTTAAGATCAGCAGGCTATATTTTTTAAGTGAGCCCATTTCCAAATAAAGTTTCACAACCAGGAAATACCCCTGAATATTACACTGAATATTTTGTGAGATACTAAGTTTACAATCTATAAATGTTATCATATTCATCCTTAAGTTTTTATAATGGAAATGTTCTTTAATTTTATGAACATTAAAGAAGTAGAATAACTAGATACCTCACTGAAGCATCATAATTTTTAAAATGAATGACTAATGTAGTACCATTTGAAAACCTAGTGAAAAAAGAAACTTACCAATTTTGACTTCTGTTTTGTCATCTTCAAACAGATCCAGAATCCCATGAATTTGGAATTTCTTCCGTATTTTTTTCCCCTAAGAATTTCAGAGTCATGGTAATATACAATTAAATACTTAACAATTCAACCTCAAGCTGGAATAGTCAGGTTCTTTAATTTAACCCAGCCATTGACATTTTTATGTGTAAAAATAGCAGAGTCACCACATATATTATCTCTAAGCAACTTGAAGGAACAATTGGATTAAAATATATGTGAAATTAATTACATTAAATTGTCTACAAGTAGCAAAATCATTTAGGCTAAAGGAAACTCATATAAGTTATATAGTCAGCAGGTGGTAGTATCTAGCTAACCATGTCTGAATAGAAAAGCCAACCAGGATGTTTCTGATTATTAGATAGTTGAACACGAGGCTATCAGAGGCTTCTGGCTATGGGAAATTGAAAAATATCTTGGAAGGTGATTGTGGCAAACTTTACAGAATATATACACTATTTCTGAGAAAACTGCATTGGTGTGTCCATGAAGTCACCAGTAGTCAAGCTTGATTATAAGTCTTTATGTCATGCAGAATGCTCTCAAATCAAAGTTAATTGCCAGCTAGCAATTCTTTTATTTAATACTTATAGTTGTGGTAAGAGTTTATTATTTTGGGACACCTTGAGAAATCCATTTCCTGAATTCTCGGTTTTAGTTTTAGCTACTATATGTTGGAGTCCTGAAGCTTTTTTTAAATGCCAATACAATGTAGTGAATCTCAGTAAGAGAGCATTACCATTGGATATGGAGTTCTGTGACAGTAAGATAGTCGGGTGAATAAATTTAATAAATAAATCCCTGCAGCTAATCATACACATTCACTGTCCTACCTTTCTGAAGACTAGCCATTTCCAAACGTATGACTGCAATTCCGAGTTTGCAACCATTATGTTCTTTATAGCTGGAAGATCCAGAGCTGGAGAAGGTCTAATTCACAATCTATGGGATCAGGCTAAGGATCTGCTTCAACATTGGGTCCCAATATATGATAACTTTTAACTTATACTTTAAAATAAAGCGCATCATTTGAAGTCACTTCTAGATTTCTTTGTATTCAGAACTTTGCTTTTGATTTCTATTTGAGAAATAGATATATTTAGATATATCTAAATCTAAATCTTAAGATATAGATTTAGAAGATTAAGATATCTTCTTAATATGTATATTAAGAACTTCTATAAGGCATTTAGGAGAAAGATCCCTTTTAACATCTGCATTATAATTAACTTTTCTACGAGTTATTCTTGTTTATTTGTCCCAACAGGCTTAAAGATAGTCTAGATCACTTTTAAACTTGCAGAATGTGTATAAAACCTTGCAACAGCTGTTTCTTTTGCTCTTACATGGTTTTGCTTTCCATGATCATGACGAATTCTAAAAATACCTTTTAATATCTTATTAGCCTAATGATGTAGCTCTAGTTTTTATTTTGCCCCATTATAATCTAAGACGACCATTTTGCAAAATAATTACCCATCCTTTTTCGAAAGACTTTCGCAGCAGTAGCCCCGAAGCATTTCTTCCCTCCCCACCAATTTAATAGACTTCCTGTTTATCGTATATGCGTGCGGAGAGAGGAGGGGGCCCTTTTCTTCCATCTGCCACCTCCTCCTTCCTGTTTTACCTTCTCTCCCTCTTCGCGCGTCGAGGACCGACGCAGCAGTGGGTTAAGGGCTCCAGAAGCCCGCTCCCCGACATGATCCCTTCCCCAAAGCAGCATCTCTGCCCTTCCACCTTACTCCCGTGGCTTTAGTGGGGCGCTGGCCCAGCCCTGTGTAGTTGGCCGGCTGTTAACTGTACAAGACGCATCGTAGACAGAGCTGCTGGGCCCCGCCCCGCACTGTCCCGCCTCTGGAGTTAAGTGTCGCAATAGTTTTGGGGGGAGATTGCACCCGTTCGTTCAGGAAGGTGTTGGATATATCACGGCATGCGGGTCATCCGCACCGATGCCAGCAGTGGGGGCAGTCCCAGCTCTTCTGCTCCGCTGCCACTTTCCTACGGGCCGGACACCGGACTACTCGACAGAGGCTACGCGGGCTCTTGCTCTGCCATGCTAAAAGTGGCCCAAATGGTAAGGATCAGAGGAGACAGGAGGTCCAAGGGAAGCGTGGGGGGAAATTTGAATGTTTCGCCAAGCTGCGGGAGCAACTGCGCTTTCTGTCAGTTCAAGTTTTGCTAGGATTTGTTTGCCTGTCGGGCGTTTCCCAGGAAAGGCAGCAAGATTTTGCATCGCCCAGTCAACAACAGCTGGCGCTGCTGGCTGTGTTCCTCAGGGCGGGCAACGCGCTGCACGTGTTACCTACCGTACTTCCCGCCAGGAATTGATTGGCGACAAAGGGGGAACTGAGGCGAAGAGCGGTTCCGAGAGAGTGCCCCGGCTGGGCGATCTGGGAACAATCCCTTGCAGCTGGCGCGCCTGTTCGACTCTTCTGAGAGGAGCAGCGCTGCTTCTTCCTGCAGATTTTGGCCAGAGTCAAGTTCTGTTTTAGTTCTACCTTGAGTCTCTCTAGGCTGCCCAGAACAGTGTGTCTGATTTAGCTTATAAACTTGAGAAGGGGGCCGGGTAAGATTTTTAAAACAAAGCTAATAAATAAATAAATAAATAAATAAAAGAAATCGCAGCACTGCGAGGAAGAATACCCCAGTTTATTAGTACTCTTTCTATGATCGCAGTCTTTTGAATAACTAACCTCATTTTTTGTTTGTAGCCTGCATAGATTTATTATTTATTATTAGATTTATTATTTATTTATTTGACCAATTCAACTTGAGAACTACATTGAGCTTTAAAGATTGTCTTTCAGGAGCTGAAAAAAATCTCTAGGTTTGAATTAGAAATGCAAACAATTTTGGACAGGTATGTAACCACACAAATTGCATAGTAGGGAGGTTCATTAGGTGTTCAGCCATCTCTGCTTGATTATTCTTATTTACTGATTTCCTTCATTTGGATCTGACATAAAAAGGGCATTTTAATATTCCATTAATACTTCATTTACTTGCTTGAAGAAAGGGGGCCTGTGAAATATTTTCATGCTGCAGCAGAGGCTGTTCCCACTTCTCTTTGGAAAAAGGCTGGATCTGCACACTCAGAGATTTACCAGCATTAACCACTGGCCTAGCCTCTGCCTAGAATCCATTTCTCCAGTGTACTCTGGAATTTGGAATTAATAGAAATATGGAGAAATCAGAGAGGATTGTTCTAGATCTAGACACTGAACAGTTCATCCATTGTGCTAAAATATGGACTGTTTAATTATGGTTGATTGAATAAGCTTATGCAATATTTCAAGCAGAACCAAATAAATCACACTAATTTAAATCAGGGCTAGGCAGGCAACTCCAAGGACACACATGCCTCTTCACTACAAACCTAATAAACTCTTCTGTTCACTACTGCTAAAAATGGATGGCAGTTTCCTATTATTTTTGATACCAAACTCAGTCTAGAGTTTAATCTATTTTCTAATTGATTAAACATGATTTAAGAAAAATCCTATTCAAAGAAATACTGTAGTAGACAATGGATTAATCTTCCAACAAAATGAATGGATGATAGAGTGTAAGAGGAACAGATGTGAAAGTAAGGATGAGTTTATATCAGACAAGAGGTATGCAAACTACACTTTTTGCTTTTCAGGGAATCACTGAAATATGTACAGGTAGTCCTTAATTTATGACCACAATTTCTGTTGTTAGATGTTTGTTAAGTGAGTTTTGCCAATTTTACGATCTTTCTTGTCACAGTTAAGTAAATCACTTCAGTTGATAGTTAGTAAGACGGTTGGTAAATGAATCTGGCTTCCGCATTGACTTTGCTTGTGATAAGGTCCCAAAAGAGGATCACATGACCCCTGGGACACAGCAATGGTCATAAATATGAATTGCTTGCCAAGCATCTGAATTTTGATCACATGATCATGGATATGCTATAAAAATTGTAACTGAAAAATGAAAAGTCATAAGTCACTTTTTTCAGTGCCATTGTAACTTTGAACAGTCACTAAATGAATTGTTGTAAGTCGAGAACTACCTGTATCAATGTAAGGGAAATGGCAACGTTTGTCAATTTAGAGAATGCATGTAATACAGTGGATTTCGAGAATGCATTCTGCAGTGCAGAATGTTCTCTGCAAATATGGAGTTGAACGTTGACTGCCAAATGTAATAAGCACAATATATGGAGGAACTAAAAATCCTGTGTGAAAAAGTGGAAATTGAGTATTGAGCAGGAAGTAAGGAGAATGTGTGATATCCTACTGATTGATTAATTAATATATAAGAAATACTTGACTTGATGTGTTGCAAAGATTCATGTACCGTATATACCATATTTTTTGGACTAGAAGACACACCAGTGTATAAGATGCACCAAGATTTCAAAGAGGTAAGCAAGAAAAAAAAAGTTTTTGCTCTTCCCGGCCCCCAGGAGCACTCTGTAGGCCTCCCAAAGCCTCTGTGTACCCCGTTTTTGCAAAATATGGGCCCATTTTTCACAAAAACAGGACATGCGGGTTGGGGCTTCGGGAGGCCAAAAATGGCTGTATTCGGTGTATAAGATGCACCAATATTTCCACTCTCTTTTACGGGTGTGTCTTATATTCTGAAAAGTATGGTAAGTAAAGTTTTATTATATCATAAAATACAGTTAAGGTGGATGCAGGATGGACAAAAACTGAAGAAAAAAGGGTTGACTTCTGACTATTTTCAACACAGTAAAATACTGCTACAATTACGACCTCAACTTTTTACGTTACTTGCAATTATTACAAGTCAGTTCTGTAACTATACAATTATTAAATTTTCAAACTAAATTCTAATATCATTTTTTTTATTTCAAGATTAAAAACCAGAAGCCATATCCCATTATAAACAAGACCAAATAAAATATCTTTCTTTGAAACAGTTTGCCATCTTAACCAAATCCAAACCAAAAGAAGCTTTTTTATTTTTGTCACAAACTTTAGTTCATTTTAGCCTTAGCTTTTCTGATCTAATTTTTACAGGTTTGGCCTATTTGCCAATATTTTGCCGTAGTTTTTTCTCTACCTTTTGGGAGACAAAGGTGTCTGCTACGCTTGTCAGAAATCTATTTGATCTTATTTTCAGCATTTGAAAATTACAGTATTTTAAAGTTTCTGCATTAACAAATCATTACTATCCCAAAAGATAAGACTTTGTCAGTAAAGTAAAGTTACTGGTAACTTTCTCTGATTGTTATCAAGTTCAACTTGTTAAAACAAGAAGCTTAAATATATGTTTCCTGTTGCAAAGAAAACTAGAAAGTGATTAATTTTACAGTCAACCACTTCCTCTAAATTAAAAAATTAAAAAAGCATTGCAAAATCTAAAGAAACACCATCTTCAGCATCTTCAAAAATTCAGTCTGTTATTATGGTCACAGACCAGGCATTTGAAGATCTAGAAATTGTATGCTGCTGAAAATTGTAGTTATTGCATTATTACTTTCTATTGAAAATCCATATTGCTATGTGCCCTGAGCTAAATTCAGTCTCTTTCAGATTGAAAGAATGAATGAATTTCTCCAAGTTTCCACCTCTTTCAATTATTTTTAATTCCTCTAATAAAATATGCACAGCAAGTGGCAGCATCTAACCAACTTTACCTGTCTTGAAGAATTTAAGTCGGATTAGCGATGATGGCCTTTGAATGAGAGCATCTGAAAATCTCAATGTTGTGAATTAGATGAAATAAATAACAATCTTGGAAGAGGACAATGTCATAATACATGAAAATATGTCCATCTAGTCACTTTGATCTCAACTATTCTTCAGTAGGCTCTTTAATAAAATAGAATAGAATACCCCCCTTCATGGATTACTGCCTTGTTGTGGCGAAGGGGCTTGCGTAGCTCAATGAAGCTATGAGCAATGCCATGCAGGGCCACCCAAGACGGACAGATCATAGCAGAGAGCTCTGACAAAATGTGATCCACTGGAGAAGGAAATGGCAACCCACTCCAGTATCTTCCGGCTTGTCCCAAGATGGCGGCGGTCGGCTGAGCTCCGCGAGGAGATGGAGAGGTCGCTGGTGTCAGGGGGTCTTCGGGAGCCGCTTTAACAATCTCCGGCTCCAGTCCCAATGAGGGGAATGCCCACCCTGCCTGCTGAGGGCTTTTTCGCCCTCTGGAATATCAGGGCAGGGCGGGACGCACTGTTTGAAGCCGCCGCGGGAGATGGGGCGGCGGCCTGCTAAAAACAGCTGTTTCCGGCTTGTCAGTGCCGGGAGGAGTGGAAGCCGGAGCGTTTCGGCGGCGGGCGGCGTTACTATGCGGCGGCGGCTTGGAGGTGCCCTTCATCCCCTCGTCCCTCACGGATCTCTGGGACGCTCTCTGGACGTTTTTCGGGGGTCTTGGAGGCGCCATGGGGAGCCCAGGGTGCCGGTTACGAGCCGGCCGTGGCGGTGGTGGCGGCGGCGGCGGCGCCGGCGGAAGGCAATGGCAGCCACGGATCATCCAGCTGTGGAAAGAACTTGTAGCAGGTGGATGGGGGAATACGGACAGCCTTGCCTTGCCCTCAGGATTACTATCTGCTCTTTTTTGAGCCTTGACCCCTGTTATCCGGGGTTTGTTTGTCATCAGAGCTGAGACTGGGGATTTGGGGAGTTTTGGGACAGGAGAGGCGGGAGGCTGACCAGGGCTCTATTGGTCGCCTCGGGTGGCTTCTCTCCCCCCCTTTCTTCCCCCAGGTATGTGTGGGTGTTGGCCTTTGATGGCCACCCACCCTGGACTTGGACTGGGTTTTTTTGTCTGCTATCCCTACTTTCGCCCCAGAGAAGAACTTGTGCCTGTGGGATTATCAACATTGTTTCTAATAACTTTACAAATTGCTGGCTTCTTGTGCGACCCCGAACTAGAGAAAACTGGGCAAAATGGTGTGCAGGTGCTGAGGGGGCTGTTTGTCATCCGCCAGATGAAAGGATGGACTATTGTGACTTTATTGTCAGTGTCATCTGCCCCAGTCACTGTGAGAGGGTGACTGGGATAATTATCCTCCAGACGTGGGGGGATGTCACTGGCCCCTTCACTGTCGTGAGAGGGCAGTGAACCAG